GCAAGGTATTTTCTATCCATTGTTGATGATTATTCCAGAAAGCTATGGGTATTCATCTAGAAGACGAAGGATGAAACTTTTGAGAATTTCAAAAGTTGGAAGGTTCAGGTCGAAACTCAAACTGGTAGAAAGGTTAAGAGGTTGAGAACCGACAATAGCCTTGAGTTTTACAATGAAGCATTCGACAATTATTGTGTTGAGTCTGGGATTGCAAGACATAAGACTGTAGCAGGTAATCCTCAACAAAATGACTTAGCTGAGAGATTCAATCGAATAATTCTTGAAAGGGTTAGATGTATGTTGGTTAGTGCTAGATTGAAGAAGGTGTTTTGGGCGGATGTTGTTTCGACAACAGCCTATCTGATAAATAGATGTCCCTCGACTGCCTTGGGAATGAAGACACCTGAAGAAGTTTGGTCGGGACATCCACCTAGTCTCGACAGACTGAGAGTATTTGGCTGTGTGACCTATGCTCATATTAGGCAAGACAAGATCAAACCTAGAGCTCTGAAATGCATGTTCATGAGATACCCTGAAGGAGTCAAAGCTTATGGGTTATGGTGCCTAGAGCCAGGTCACAAGAGGTGTATCACCAGTCGAGATGTAGTTCTCAATGAAGTAGAGATGACTTTCAAGAAAATTGATGATGCTGACGAAGAGATGGAATAGGGAGAGATTCCTGTTAAGGTGGGGCATGTTGATGCTGAATTGCGTATCCCAAATGAAGTCGAAGAAGACGCAAAAGATGTTGTCGAAGATGAGGAGACTGATAATGACTGCCTGCTAGCAAGAGACAAGTCGAGGAGAGTCATCAAGCCACCTCAGAGACTTGGGTATGCAGATCTTATAGCTTATGCCTTAATCTCTGCAAGTGAGGTTCTAGACGAAGAACCTAGAGACTATAAGGAAGTTATGAAGAGTCGAAAGAATACTTAATGAATGAAGGTCATGGATGATGAGATGAAATCTCTTCATGATAACAACACCTGGGATCTGATCAAGAAACCTGCTGAAGTCGGGTTAATCAACTGTAAATGGATTTTCAAAGTTAAGAAAGGAATCAAAAGAGTGGCATCAAAGAGATACAAGGAAATATTGGTCGCTAGGGGGTTCACTCAGAAAGAAGGTGTCGACTTCAATGATGTGTTCCCTTCTGTTGTGAAGCACAAATCCATTTGAATGTTGCTTGCCAAGGTGGCCCAGTTCGACCTGAACTGGAACAGATGGATGTGAAGATTGCGTTCTTGTATGGTGATCTAGATGAAACAATCCTTATGAGGCAACCTGAAGGGTATGTCAAAAAAGGGAAGGAAGATTATGTGTGCAAGCTGAATAGATTTTTATACAGACTAAAACGATCTCCTCGACAGTGGAATAAAAGATTCGACAAGTTCATGGCACGCATAAGTTTCATTAGAAGTCAGTTTGACCACTGTGTTTACTTCAGATTTTGACCTAGTAGTTCATTTGTTATTCTGTTGCTTTATGTGAATGATATTCTAATAGCGAGCAACAATGTCGAAGATGTAATGAGGGTGAAGGATGAACTCAATAAGGAGTTCGACGTGAAGGATCTGGGAGCTGCATCCAGGATTTTTGGAATTGACATCCAAAGAGATAGAAAGCAGTCAAAATTATACTTATCTCAAAAGGCATACCTATGGAAGATTCTCGAAACGTATGGTATGTCGAATTTAAAGCATGTTGTGACTCTGACAAACCCTCAATTCAAGATGAGTATAGATCAGTGTCCCAACACTGATGTCGAAAGAACTTATATGAATAGCATTCCATATGCTAATATAGTGGGTTCTTTGATGTATGTTATGGTCTGTACTAGACCCGACATATCATATGCAGTAAGTCTTGTAAGCAGGTACACGGTGAATCCTGGAAAGGATCACTAGCAAGCATTAAAGTGGATTCTAAGGTACATAAATGAGTATCTGAATAGAGTCCTAATTTATGGTGGAGCCTTGGGTGATGATAGTAAAACAGCAATTGAAGGATATGTCGACTATGATTATGCAGGTTGTATGGATTCCAAAAAATCTATTTCTGGATATGTGTTCACTATGTTTGGGACAACAATCAGTTGGAAAGAAACACTTCATAAGGTTATTGCCTTATCTACCACTGAAGCGGAATATATCGACCTAACTAAAGCTGTGAAAGAATCATTGTGGCTTGAAGGTTTTTCAAAAGAGCTGAAACTTCAAGGTCGAGTTATCACAGTTAAATGTGATAGTCAAAGTGCAATACACCTGTCGAAGAATTCAGCCTATCATGAGCGAACCAAGCACATTGATGTGAGGCTGCATTTAGTCAGAGGGGTAATCGAGCGTGGAAAAGTCCAAGTGCTGAAGGTTTCGACAGATCATAATATTGATATGATCACCGAGACGTTGCACAGTTGCAAGTTTTTCCACTGTATGCAGTTGATAAAGATGCATGAAGAAATCTAGTTTCTTGATGTTATAGAGTTAGATTCAAAGTGGAGATTTGTGAGATATTGGATCGAACTCTAGTATGTTGTCGGAGTAATGCGTGTTATAGTCGAAGTTTGTTCTAACATGTATTAGTAAATATTATTATGTTTGTTAGCATGTTGAATTGGATCTTGCTTGTAAGCCCAAATGTTTATGTTTGCTTATAATAGGTAATTGTTAAAAAGTCCATTAGGTTAGTGTGCTATTTTTTTTTATAAATAGCATGCTAGTCTCTCGTTTTGTATAAGAAAAAATAGGAAGATAAAATCCTAATTCAAGAGAGAGGTTATTTGTTATTTTTGTATACTTGTAATCTTCTTTGATAGATAAATGAAAGAATAGCAGTTTATAACCAATCCTTGTAATTTTTTCTTGTGATTCTTGCTTGTTTTTTTTTTTTGTTAATCTTAACCATTGTGTGTTTCTTGAATATAAACAAACCATTTATATTTTGTTTCAAGGCATTCTATTCACAACATATGGAATCTAAAATATTTTTGAAAATTTCTTTTTAGGGATAAGTCTATTCAACCCCTTTTAGACTTTGTTGTGTCCATATTCTCACCCAACAAATTTAATCTCTGTGTGTAATTTAATTTATCGCGTATTTGTAATTCATTTGTTATTTGTTTGTAAGCATATTATTATTTTTGTTTAGACATTTATTTTAAAACACCCTTACATCTAATCTATTAGATTTGGACTCATGATAATATCGAATGTAAATTGAATCACAATCTAGATTACTTAAATCAAGAATTTTGTGAAACTAGACTTGAATTAAAGATGTTATGATTCAAATTAAATTATTTCTTAAAAATTTAAAATTTGAGTCTGCCTCCCTGATTCAAATCAGGAAAGTGTGTGATTTGAATCACAATACCTCTTGACTCAAATTATAAGTTATTTGATTCAAAATATGATAATCAAAAATTTCATTAAAAATGAATTGTGACATGCTTTGTGTATCTCAAATCACAAACACAGAAAATGATTCAAATCAAAATAGAAAATTATTCACTTACCATCTTTGATTCAAATCATTCTTTCTTTAATTTAAATCATAATCTCATAATTTGACTCGAATAATCTTGTGCTTTATCTCACCTTTTTGTGTCTTATTTAGAGCACATGTTTAGATCATTTCTTGTCTTTAATATGAATGTTTGTTGAAACATTCAGGGTTAGCAAGTCAGTCAATCATCAGAGTTGGTCAATTGATTTATATTGATTACTTAGAATATTTATCAATAACTAAAATACTCATTGTCAAGAATCTTGAAAGAAATCATGAGAGTTTCTTCATTCACAAACACATTATCTCCTTGATTCAATCTTGTGAAAAACTTTCTAGAATATGAGATTTCTTAGTTGTGTTGTAAGACATCTTTTAAATATTATTCATCATCTTCAATCTTATATTAATAATCCATTGTTGTGGTGCTCTATTCTAAAAATTGAATGCGAGAGATAAATTTAAAGTACATTAGAGATATAATATTTTTTTTTGTAAAATTTTATTATATATATTCGAAGAAAGGATAGTTTTTTTTAAAGTATTGATAGGTGTTTATCCAAAAGTTTCTCAATACTCTATGGAAAATTTTTATGGATATGAGTAACAAAATTTTTATGGATATGAGTAACAAATGTCCCATAACAAAATTGAAAGTTGTTCAATTATTTTTTACTAGAACAATCGCTTAAACAAATTTTCGTCAAAAATTGTTGTAAAATTGAAATTTGGAGCAGAATTATTATACTTGAAAATTTTATAATATTCTGCATCAATAAAAAGGAGTATCATTTTAGATTTGTTTTGACTAAAATATTTGAGTTTTTAGTGTTCAGATTGAGATAATCTGTAATACCAAATACTTGTATCATTGAAGAGTAAAATTGGTATAGCGGATAAAAATTGGCAAATCACCAAGAGCATCTTTAGTGGGAGTAAACTAAATGGGTAAACTAAGATACTTTTTCTGGGTCCAAAGTGATTTGTAGGATTTAAAAAATTTATAGTTGATTTGAGTAGTTTTTACTTTAATGATGGTTGTCTATAAGAAACCAAAACTTGACCCCACATGGTATTAAATGGTTAATAAAAATCTATTATTTATTTTAAATAATTAATAAAAATGTATTATTTTTGTTAAATGATGAGTTAGAGTACATTGCTTGTGTAGAGCACGTAAATTAGTTTTAGAGCATCCCATATGCCATGTCAGCACTACTATAATGCAAATTCCTTATTACTAACGTAAGCTATAAAGAATTTTGGTTTAACAACCCTGCATTAAAGTTGCTCTAATAGGCTTAACTAAAAATATACCCAGTTGCATCCCTGTATTCTAGCCATAATAAGAAATAACCATTAGAATAGAAGGATGTTGAAGACAAGAACAAAACCTGATAATATACATTGATGTATCCCGTTTAATTACCATTTTTAGAACTAAAGTAAACCTACAAAACCTCAACTAATAATACTAGGTGCAACTTCATCATCATCTATGATGATTGATCATTTTGAATTGGAACAGTTTGCATCTCTGATTTCTTTTTCTCCTTGAGAATTACCTGCCTTGGCATTACCTCTAACAGAAAGCCAGCTCCATTCCACACTGATGCAGAAACCTTCAGTATTTGGAAAACCATTGACAACTCGTACGACAAAAATATCGGAACAGTCAGCGCCATTGTTGCCACCGTGAACATTCCTTGAAGAAGAATGAACATTAACAAGCGGTTTTGATCCCCGAGCAAACCGCTTAGACGCCACCACATGTTGTTTGCTTTCTGAGCTTTTTTAGAAAGTTCCCTATGAAAAACGGTAATGCGGTCGCAATCACGATTGAATACCACTTTTTAAAACTCTAGTATGTTTGGCAAAATGGAACGAGACAAAACAGTTTTTGTTACCTGTAGGAAGTCATGACTTCAGGATCTCTTATGAACCGCTGTCGACGTAAGACGTTGACAATGAGGAAGTAAAGAACCTGCCACAGGGTGTAAACTACTAAGGGAACGAGAAACAGCCATGTACAGAGATAGGATTTATCTTCGATATAAGGCCATGTAACTCTTGCGGGAGCTCCCTCTGGTCGCATGGCTTCTAAGGTCTCAGGATTCCACCATCGAATGGTAAAGAAAACCAATCCTGGATAAGAAAAACATTTCATTGAAGGTGTGATGAAAACAAAAAATGGATGCATAAAGAAACATAAAGGTGACATTTCTATGACAAGTCCATTCCAGTCGTAGCATCTCTCTATTACTGTCATTTTCATGTAGATGTTCTAGTTGTTTTACACAAACAAATATTAAAATCATTTTTTTCTTCATTCCGCACATAAAGATCTAGAAAAACTATTAAAATCAAGAGATTAATGAGTTAGATGGATATATGTTGAATGATAGAACATTATGGGGACATTTGATCGACATAATTTAGCGTTCTATTTTTCGTATAAGGCACATTCTCGCATCTCACATCTTTACACGGATATATGTGAATTGGAGCACAAACTAATGGATTATGGTACTAAACTAAAGCTAATTCTAGATACCACGCTAGAATCCTATGAAATTTCATTAGAAAATCATAAAAATAGTAGAACTTGAACTCATCAGGTAAAATGCTTTTTATCTATGCAATTGTTTGGTAGACATGTCCAATATTTGACCATTGAATGCATATATCTATATAGGTCATAATAGAAGCCGATGGTTTTCCACCAGTTCATTATCTTGTTAAGAAAAGACGGGAATAGTAAGAGTTGTAGGTATAACATACCAGGTAAAAGATGGATAAGAACACTGACAATTTTGTCAACAGAACTGAACACCAAACTGCAACGCCAAACAATCAAAGCCCATGCTAACGGCCCCTGCAACAGAAGCACTTAAATAAGGCATAAGATCGACGACTGCTCGTCTTCTAAGAGGTCAAATTACCATAAAACACTCACCTCAGCAAATGAAAAGCAAACCAGAAAAAGCTTTTCATTCTTTGGATAAAACAGAAGGTAAACCAAGAAAATTGTATTGGCGTAGTAACAAAAATCCTGAAACACATGAACAATACTTTAGAAACCTTATTCTTATTAATTATGTTTCGACAGAAGCAACTGAAAAAAATATTAACTTTATCCTTATGATAATGTTAATGACAAAGAGACATCACTCCAATGATTTTGATCAGCAATGGAATTGAAACACAGTTTAAAATTAAATAAACAAGCCTTCTTCCAATGACTTCGCAGCCATGTGTCTCTGACAACATTTAACCTAAAAAATACACTTTTCTGAAAGCACAGTTAACATCGAGAAGCCTAGGATCTCTCAAGAATAACTTCCAATTTCTAGTCTGCCCACCCCCCTCCATAATCCTTCTTTTTATTCAACTACTGCCGATCTCTCTCTCCTCGCCCATACCCCACTTAGCCCACTCAACAGGTAGTTTTATAAATGGAATTGTTCCTGTTTCCCTCCTCTTCTTTTCTCTCAGGTACACCCTCTCCTAACGTGGTGTGCATCTCCTCAAATTAAGATGGTGTGTATCTCCTTTAATTAAGGTGGGGGGCTCCCTTCCATACAATGCCTCATAAGGGGTAGTCCCACTCTGTCTGCCCATCAGTCTGTGGGTGATAATACCTTGTCCCTGTCAGACACTATAGAGCTTGGAAAACCATGTAATTTCACTACTTTGATGAACAGATCCACTATATCTTTAGCTGTATAGGGATGCTTAATTGGGATGAAATAAACATATTTTGTTAAGCTATCCACCACCACCATCCCTAACACTTTAGGTAACCCTCCTATGAAATCCATGGAGATATCGCGCCATATCTACTCTGGAATAGGAAGAGGCTGCAACAAACCACCTAGACTCAGTTTGATATTTATTCTGCAGACATACTTCACAAGTTTGTACATACCCTTGGATTCCTTTTCTCATGCCTTCCCAATACACCAGCCCTGCAATCCTTTTGTAAGTTCTAAAGATCCCAGAGTGTCCCCGCATTCTTGTAAGATCCAAGGAATCCTAGATGAATTCTTTGGTAAAACAATTTTGTCTTCTGCCTTTTTACAACTTACAGCCCTTGTGAGAGTTAGAATCTGCCAGCAATTCTTGAACAATGGTCTTCAACTTTTCATCAGCTTGTGCTTCTTCTTCCAGCCCTTCCCACACTTCAATTGACCAGTAGTAATTGTAGAATATTGCATCTGTCAAGATAAAGCATCTACTGCACTATTTTCTTTTCCCGGTTTATGCTTGATTTTGAAACTATAGCCCATTAATTTTGAAATCCATTTTTGCCGCTCTTCTCCCATGATCCTTTGCTCAGTTAAGAACCTTAAACTTTTCTGATCAGTGTGAACCTTGAAATGTCTCCCTAGCAGATATGGTCTCCATTTTTTAATAGCTATGACAATATCCATGAGTTCCTAACTTTGAGAAAGAATTTGTCATTAGCATGATGGGCTGCATCCCCCCCATTAAAATTATCTTTCTTGAGTAATTGAGTCAAAGGCCATGCTAATTTCCCATAATTCTTCACAAATTTCCTGTAATGCCTAGTGAAACCCAGAAATTCTCTCAACTCCTTTATGTCCTTTGGTTTTGGTCATTTCAGCATATCTTCTATTTTTTATTTTTTGGATCAGCAACCACCCCAGCTCCAGAGATTAAATGACCCGAATATTCTATCTTTTCTTACCCAAAGGAATACTTTTTTTTTTTTAATTTGCATACAGTTGATGCTCTTGCAGTATTTGTAAGATCTTAGAAGTGTTATCTATGCACTATAAATCAATATATCATCAAAAAAGACTAATACAAACTTTCTGAGACAGGGCTTCAATACCTGATTCATCAAAAGATCGAAAGGTTGATGGTGCATTTGTCAACCCAAAGGGCATTACTAAGTACTCATAGTGACCTTCATGAGCTCTAAAAGCAGTCTTAGCAGTATCTTCTTCTTTCATTCTAATCTGGTGATAACCTGATTTAGGTCCAGCTTAGAAAAAATCATGGGTCCACTCAATTCATCTAGTAACTCATCAATGACAGGAAAATGGAACTTATTAGGCACAGTGATTTTTTTAAGGGCTCTATAGTTAGTACAAAATCTCCAACCCTGTCTTTCCTCTTAACTAGTATTACTAGGCTAGAGAAAGGGCTAACACTCGGTCTATGTTGATGGTAGGATCCCCATTAATACTAAAGGTGCTGTCCCCCTTTCTCCCATTTCAAACTCAGATTTTTGAAATTTATTTATATGTTTCCCAACTTCTTCCAACCAGCACGGTAACAGCAAATGAATCTCTCTAATTTCCTAACCTCTGATCTATCACATCAAACACTATTCTCCATGTTGTTCCTTGTTACAACCATACTCTGGATACCAAATTGATAGGATCAATCTAGTATCACCGAGGAATTTAACAGTAAATTGACATAAAGGAGAGGGATGAACAATGAAATAATGATTTTGGCATAACAAACAGAATCGAAGTGGTTCTGATGTGGATTACAGTGTATAAAAAAGTGATAGAAATGACATAATAAATGATAGGCTAGGCAGTTAAAGAAGCCTAGGATCTCCCAAGAATAACTTCCAATTTCTAGTCTGCCCACTCCCCTGCATGTTCCTTCTTTTTATTCAACTACTGTCAATTTCTCTCTCCTCACCCATACCGCACTTAGCCCACTCAGCAGGTAGTTATTAGTGGAATTATCCCTGCTTCCCCCTCTTCTTTTTCCTCTTTTCTCATGTATACCCCTTTCATAACTATCAGTAGCATGTTTCTTCAGTTGTATAGTGAGTGATCCTGCCATAAATATTCTACCCATAAAGTACACCTCTTTAAAGATACTTGAAAATACTCTATCACACGTCCTTTGTTTCTAATGTGAGAAAAACCAATAATATATAATAAATGACTGTGCATGCTATAAAACTGTGCAAGAATGACAAGAAACTAATACCTATATATCATCAACCCTTCAGATGGTAGAACTATCCGACACCAACACAACAATGACAATAACAATAATGATCACATACAATCACTATTATTTTCACAAACTGTTACCAGTGGGAGGTGTCTGTGTCAAGTTGTTTTCGTCTCTCGTGTTCATGTTTGTGCTTAATAGACTAATGCTCATTCAGGAAACAAAAATATGTGCTTCGAGAAGAAGTAACAGTTTCAAAGATGCAAAAGTACTAAAATTGAAAATCAGATTTAGAGATAAATCTGAAATTACCAGGAGATAGTAATGCCATTTCATGAACCTATAGTATATCCAACGAAGAGGAACAAAGACAACATAGAACAAACAATAAACTAAGGGAACATCTTGAGGCCCTGTAAAACAGAACGATACAAAATTAAAACAAAAAAAGAAACTAAAAATTTGTGTTTAAGTGTTGGAATGATAGATTAATCAACTTACTTGCCCCTAAGAGAAAACAAAACCCACCAAAGCCAAGAACATTCAATAAATGAGTAACCTGAAGAAACAAGAAAAACACATCAAAATTGAAACTTGTTCCAATATTGAAATACCCAAATGAAAAAGCGTAAACAAGACACCTTGTTGATGAAACTTTCATGTTCTTCAGCACGTTTTGCGATCTTAACCGCTTGTTTGGACAATACCTCCTTCAAATTGAATCAAAACCAAAGCAAATCCATATCACAAAAATCAAAAACAGATACAGCATGTGGAAATCAAATGAAAAAAAACAACGCAACGCAACGCACCTTTGACCTATCCCTCAAGCGTTTTCTAGCCGCTGCAGTGGGTTCGATGTCGGAAACCTCAGCGTGATCTTCGTTTTCAGACATACTCATTCCAACAAGCTTCGATTGATCGTGGTGATGTTATGGAGATTGTAAGGAGGGAGAGGATTGTCTCTTGTTTTGTAAGGTTCCAGAAAAAGTAGGAATGCGTTACTGTTACGTGGAATATTCTTCTTGTATAAGAAATCTAGAATTCGATTACGCGGAAAGTTGTATAAATAATAATGCATTATTTAATCGATTTAAAAATTAATTTTATATTTTAATTAAAATTTATATTTAATTTCTAAGATAATATTTTTTAATTTAGTTTTTAATTTGTGTTTCAAGGACTAACTTGGGCACAAGTTAGCATTACCCTTTAATAAAATAGTTTATTGGTGGTTTGGAGAGCACGGTAACACTCATCATGCGAATAGTCTAAAAACACGGTTTGAATTAAATTCAGGTTTTTTAAATAATTTTTTAATTAAATAATTTATCGTAATTTTTTTTGTTAGATCCAACCTTTATCCCTTAAATTCAAAAGTGCTTTCATTTACCATAAGACGCTCAACTTTTTTTTTAATGCGACTCTTATAAAAGAGAATGGAGGGAGTATTTTTTATGCATTACGTGAATTTTTAAAAATGTCTTATCTTTTTAGAGATGTATTTTCAAACACATTTAACAAAGATTATTTTAAATTACGTCTTAAAAATGGAAATATGTATTCCACAATGTATCTCCGGAATTTTTTTGTAGTTACATTTCCGTAACATAGTCATATCAATAGCAGAGACAAAACCACAAAATTTTCTAAAATGAAATTAACCTTCATTACATAAAATAAGCATAGCATAGATGATTTCAGCATATAATGCAACATTACACTTCAATATCCAATTGGATGCTACAACATCTTCGCAATATCTTCGACCGATCTTGAAATCGTCGATTCCAACTTGAGCGGAACTTTTGTTTAAAAACGGAAATATGTATTTGTAATACTCCAAATTTGTCCTACCTATATATAATTTTTATTTGTGTATGTTTATCAACTTTTATTCAAAATCCAAGAAAATGTGTTGTTTTTGCTTACTCAGGGTATCACGGGGCTGAGATGAATTGGATCAAGTTTCATAGGATCGTTTGGATTTGGCCTCATCTTACCAGGCAAGAGTATGTTTCACGGTCCAGGGGATGTGTGTGAAGTTTCAATTTGGGTTTGTGCCAATTCAAGACAGTTGTGTATGGATCAAGATATCAGTGCTTCATGGTTGAAGAGATATCAGAATTCAAATTATTTTTCAGCTAAGATTTTAGGCAATGTATTAAGGCGTATGTCTGAAGTCATAATCATTTGATGTCATGGCGTGTTCCTGCTCATTTGACTTATAGTGAAGCCTTTGGTTTATCAGTATTCAATTGGCCAAGTTCATATGGTTATTGAGTCTCCAACCCATTTCAAGTTCATAATGAATTCAGGGATCAAGTTTGATTCATGTTTTATTCAATATTGGGTTTTTTATGGGTCATTTCAAAGTTTTGTTAGATAGATAAAAGTTTTGTTAATATAGGTACTTTTAATTATTATTGCAAAAATTCTACAACCAAAAAAAAAGCTCATGATTCATTCTTTTTAAGCCCATTATCATTCTAAAAGTCCATCACATTTTATATATATATACAAAGTCCATCACATTTTATTGCAAAAATTCTACAACCAAAAAAAAAGTTCATGATTCATTCTTTTTAAGCCCATTATCATTCTAAAAGTCCATCACATTTTATATATATATATACAAAGTCCATCACATTTTATTGCAAAAATTCTACAACAAAAAAAAAGCTCATGATTCATTCTTTTTAAGCCCATTATCATTCTAAAAGTCCAAGTTACACAAATATATTTACACAAAATTCTTCCAAATCCATATACACACACAAAACTTCATTAATTATAATTCACAGCAAGCCCACTTAATGCAAACCAAAATGAGGATCACTTGCAGAACCTTCTGTCGCAGTGAAATTTGGATACCAAACTATTAATTAGTTTGAATCTTATTCATTTGCAACCGAACTTTGATTTGTCCAAAGGAAGGAAAAAAGATCGAAATATCCACAATGCAATGCAAATGCAAGCTAGAGAGTTATAGGTTCGGGGGTTGGTTAAACTTAGGGTAGGTATTAGCATCCTAAATTTTTGTAGTACTCTACAGGAACCTCTTGTTTTGTGTTTGTTTATTTGCTAAGGTTTATCTACTTAATGGTGAGAGACCTAGGGGTTTATTTCTAAGTATACTCGATAAGATATCGCATCTTATGCCTACATATCCTTACGGGAGTGGAATCAGAGTATTTGTAGTTCCCCTAAAGGGTTTGAGGAAGTCTTTGACTGTGGTCAAAGTTCCTACGGGTTTAGGGTAGTTGGTTGATTGAGTTTAGGAGAAAAGATGAGTTGTCATTTTAAGGGAGATTTAGCCGCCACAAGTGTAAGAGATTGTATTGTTGTGAGGTGGAGATTCTATCTCGCTTAAGATGATTAACATCTTTCTCTAATGTTTGAATAATTGTATGAGTTGTTTTGTTCATTCTAAGTTGTAAAAAAATAAAAGGTCTTTCCTATGGGGTAGGATCTATCTTAAAGATCAACTTGAATGGGATCAAGGATCAATGGGGAAAATGATGCAAATGTAGATGTATGCGCACGATTGTTTAAGTCATGCACAGATTCTTCCTTTGGACGGAATGCGATGCAAGAAAGATAAATACGATAATTGTAAATTGCGGAAAGAAATAAAAGCAGATAAAGTAAACATACATACACATGAAAGCGCTAAGTGAGTGTGTGAATTGTGTATGTGAATGTGCGTGGATGCGTAAGCGTGCACAATTGGATTGGTTCTAGACGAAGTTAATTTTAAGGGTGGGCTGAATTATTTTGAGAAAAGTTGAATTAGTTTAATAAAAAAAGCTTAGATTAATTGATGAAGTTGGTCTTAGAAAATGTTGATTTAATTTTATTAGCAAAAGGTTGATTGATTTTAAGAGAAGATTGCTTTACAGGGTAAATTGGTTTTTTTTATATGACAAAAAGAGTTTATTAGATAGATAAAAGTTTTGTTAATATAGGTACTTTTAATTATTATTAATGATTATAGATTAAATATATTATTTTAAGTTATAAAATAGGTTCCCAAATTATAGAATAAATCTAATTATTATTTTTTTTAGGAGATTTTATTAAATAGATAGCCACATTAAAAGATTTTATTGAAAAAAAGTTGGTTATTTAAATGAGGTAACATAATTACTTATCTTATGAAAAAAAGAAATATTCTTAATAAAAAAGTATTGGCCAAATATTAAATTAATTAAATAGATTACTTATTAAAGGATTAATTGATTAAAAAAATAAATAGTTGATTTAAGAAAAGATTTGATTATTGATTTTTTAGTAAAATGATTAATTAATTAAATTATTAGGCAAATTATTGTTTTAATTAAACAGATTAAAAAGATAATTATTGTTAATTAGAGTTAAGGCGGATTAACTGTGGATTAAGGTGTTAATGAGTGGGGCGTGCAATTAGGTGTGGGGTGCGCGTGGTACTTACGATGGACTGCGTGATGAGATCCGTCAGATCGTGATCGTGCGGTGATTGTGGTGACGGACCATGGTACTACCATGGTCGTGCGCATATACAACTCATAGTGATACAAAAACAACAGAATGATGAAACAAAAAACAAATGACGGCGGAAAAAAAAACCTTAATCCCCAACGCCCTTTCACTCGATCACCTCTCCCGTTCAATTTCCGTTTCAATCTCCCCCATTTTCCTTCATCGTTACGTCTATTCTTGTACCTGAAACAACAATCGAAACGTTAATCGTTCAACAACATTAACATGTATGAAAATTTTTACCGAAGGTTGGTGGCGGCGGCAAGATGTGAAGCGCGAGCGATTTCCTCCGACGGTCTCGCGATGGGCTTTGGAGGCGTCGATCTTCGAAGGTTTCAGCGAAAAGATGAGTTCCTCCTTTCCTTTCAATTCGAGTTACTTAAGGTTTTCATGATTTTTTGCTGAGTTTCGAATTTCATCCAAAAAGGTGTGTTCTCCGATCCAAATCCCTCTTTTTATAGGCGATTTTGGGCTTTCCCGTCTTTAAAGCTCTGATTGAATCTTTGGTTGCTTGTATTAAGACCTTATATTCCTGTTTGGTCAAGATTTGAAAACTTTTCTTTCTCGTTTTTGATTTAGTTAATGTTGTTGATGAGAATCACTTTCTGTATGATTTGATTTGAAGGATCTCTTAATTGATGCTGAAGAATCTGATAGCTGTCTGGGATTGGATCTTTTTTCGAAAAAAAACATATTCCTCAATTGGTTACTAACTCTGAATTGCTATTTGAAAGGTGTGAATAGCAGATGGTTTGGGCCAAAGGGAAACTAGCAGCCCAGGGAAAATACGGTAGCGAAACTGGTGAGCCTCAAAGCTTCAGTGTTGGTAGCAGTCCTGAACTTTGAAAACTCACTTACGTGTACTTGAACTAGTGATCCCAAAGTTGCGAATTCATCTCTATTTCTGTGGTGGTGCTGCTGCTGATATTGCAGTTGACGATAATTTTGATTAGTGAATGAATGCTGATGCTGAAGAAGCTGCTGGAACTGTTGGGTTTGAGTCCGAGAATTTGAGTAGTATGATTGTTATGACCTGTTCTGGTGGTGATGTTATTGATTTTGGAGTTGTAGACTGACTTGTGGCCTTGTATCTTTGTTCTGATTTTTCAGGTACTTGTCCTTTGTGTGAGGGTGGCTGTGCAGCAGTGAACTCGTCGCGCGTCTCCAACTATGACGTATCTGCCGCGACTTTAAACTTCCTAGGAGGTAAAATGGGATGTCCGGAAGCCACTTGTTCGCATCAAAAGGTGTTCTCAAATAGAAGTTGACACCGGACTGAGGGTGGAGTGATCACTTTACCGTCTATGCAGGTACCTTCTTTAAAACTTAACCCAGTTTACTTCGAATTAAATCTTCAGATGCCTTGGCTGTTCCCTGACAC